AATGCCTATGGCCAACCAGTAAACTCATTCATGACTGAGCAGAAATTTGAACCCAGGTCTCAAGCAGAACTTAAATACACCACCACACTTACTTATGGACCACATGCTTTGTGGCATTCTGTCCGAACTGGGAGACTAGGTGACATTAACCAGACCCTTAGTTTGCAACCCCAGGACACAAGTATAGGGAATCAGAGAGTACACAGCATACATAACATTTCCATAACTCAGGGGGAGCAGGTTAGCAGCTGGGACTTTACACATGAAGCTGCCTTATAGTGATTAAGACGGTTGGTCTATCAAGATCAGTGTTTTCTACTCTAACTGGCAGTGGCTCTCTTTCACATCACCTCCTACCTGGAGATGCTGGTGACTGACCCTGGGACCTTCTGCAGGCAAAGCAAATGTTCTACAACTGAACCAGGGCTCCTTCCCCACAATGCAACACTGTCTTATAAAATCAGACCATGAGTCTATCAAGGCTAGCACTGCCTACTCTGAGTGGCAACAGCTCTCTAGATTTTTCACATCACCTACTAAAACGATTCTTTTAACTGGAGATGGCAGGGGTTATCTGGGACCTTCTGCATGTAAAGCAAATGCACAGAGAATCCTCATGTTCTGGTCCAGGAGCATCACTTGCTCCTGCTTTTTGAAGCACTTGCACCTCCAGAGGGCACCTTAAAAAATAATAAAGGACAATAAAGGAGAGCCAAGGGTTGATCAACAGGTGCCCACTTTACTGCAGTCTCAAGGTGGCCAACCTAGAGTTGATGCCACTCAACTGGTCCATTTCTATGGTTAGCCAAGCAAGCCCGGACTGAAGATCAGAGCTGCTCCATTCTCCTGGTGGCAGCAGCTCATTGGCAGGACATCGAAGACAAGAACCGATCAGATCCAGGCTTTTAAAATAAAATTTTAAGCCAATTGGAAGAGTGGGGCTGGTAACAAAATCATTCTGGCAACAGGGAAAAGGTAAGTGGGTTTGACTGCTTTTCTTTACTGGCCAAGAAACAGGAAAGGATCCAAAGCAGCTTAGTTTCTAGCACTGTGCAACAATGGTCTCTTTGTTGCATGGGGCACATCCTTGAACAGCCCATCAACAGCTGGTGAGGCCGGCGCCTCGTCTCTGGTAATGTCCCTGGTCAACCATCCAATTTCAAGTTGTGTCACAGGATGGTCAACACTCCCCCCCCCTTTTTTTTGAGAAACAAGGAAATGGTTCCATTGGAAAGCCATCCCTTTCCCCAAAGGGGCCTTAAAGCCTGGAGCTGGCAACCCTACTCTCCCACCCTCCCTGCCAGAAGCCGGGGGGGGGGACCTGGCAACCCTAGACTGTTGCCTGGCCTAGGGTTGCCAACTTCCAAATGGGACCTGGAGACTCTCCAGAATTACAACTGAACTGTCTGTCTCCCATGGAGAAAATGGCTGCTTTGGAGGGTGGACTCTGTGGCATTATACCCAGCTGAGGCCTCTCCCTTCCCCAAACCCAGCCCTCCTTAGAGTCCACCACAAAATCTCTAGGAGATCCCCAACCTGGCACTCGCAACACTTCTGAGGCCTGACCCCAAGGCTCCCTCCCTAAAAGGCCAAAATAGGCCTGGAAAGGGGCCTCCTTCCTCCCCCTGCCTTTTACTGACAGAGCCAGTTAGAAACCCTCCCCCTGAACATTCTAATCTCTCACCATTGATGCTTGGAGTAGATCCCTGCGGAGGCCATTTCAAAAGGTATTGAAGGGAATTAGGGTTGCCAGGTCTTACCTGGCTGCCAGTGGGGGGGTCCCTCTCCATGTCCTGGAGTCTTTCAGTGAGTGCACGAAGCACACACGCTGTAATGATGTCACCTGGAAGTGATGTCGTTGTGCAGGGCACGTTGCAGGGGGATACTTTAGCATTTGAGGGAAAACCATACAGTTTTTTCTCAAACACTAGAGTGCCCCCACACCACATGCCCTGATGTCATTGTACCAGGCACGTTGGTGCAGATGGGGCTCTTTGGGGGTAGGGTTTCCCCTACCTGCTTGCTCGGTGGCAGCAGATCAGGGGTTCTGAAAGTGAGTAAATCCTCACCCCCATCAAGGGAATGTCAACTCTAGGGGGAATTCAACCCTCCCCAAGGTTTTTGTTTTGTTTTGTCTTACTTTTTGGATTTTTCTGCAGTCCAACAGGGTCCCCTGAGTCTGTAGAAAAAGCTGTTGGGGGAGAGTGAGACCGATTTCCCACAAGCGCTGCTCCACACTCGCTCTTCCCTTTTGCCCCGATGGTATGTGTCAATTACACAAGCTGCTGCGTGGTTGCATTTTGCCCTACAGCTTCATGTGATTTCCCCTGTGTCTACTCAATCCTGGTTTTTGAGGATTGAGTAGACGCGGGGAAAATTGTGCGAAGCTGCGGGGCAAAATGCGGCCGCGCAGCAGCTTGTATGAAATTGACACGTACCATCGGGGCAAAAGGGAAGAGCGAGCGCAGAGCAGCACTTGTGGGAAATCGGCCTGAGCCTTCTGTTGGCAGAAATAGTTATCCGCATGGATAACAGACTTTGGGAATTAGTACATAGAAGATGGGGTCTTGGAGAGTTGCTACTAGATAGACTGTACTGGGCTCAATATACCGTTGGTCGCATTCACCATAAGATAGCATCCACATATCCATAAAATGGAAAGCTGACATTTTGAGGGCTCTGGATCCTAATGCCATGAAATAATCCCTGTATAAGCATTTTATTTATTTATTTTGGATATTTCTATGCCTCCTCTCCAGAGTCCTGTTTGGGGTGTTTAAAATTAAAACAATGTCACAATATTAAAATCAAGCCATTGGACAGCATAAAACTATCCACAAAATAAAAGCAAACCATTTTTTAAATGGTAAGATAAAACCCTAATTAAAAGCCTGGGTAAAGAGATATGTTTTGACCTGGCTCCTAAAAGGAAGTAAAATAGACAGCAGATAAGCATCAAGGGAGAGGGCATTCCAGAGGTGGTGTGCCTCCACATCAGATGACCTGTCTCCAGTTGCCACCTGCCTCACCTCTAAAGACACGGACATAGAGAACAGAGATTCAGTGGAAGAGCTTAACTGGTAGACTGAATAGTATGGGAGATGGACCTTCAGGTACCATGGCACCAAGCTGTTTAGAACCTGAAAGGTAAGAACCAGCACTTTCAATTGTGCCTAGAAACAGATGGCTAACCAGTGCAGCTCTTTCAATGTAAGGGTGATACAGTCCCTGTAACCAACCCCTGGCAGTAGCCTGGCCACCACATTTTGGACCAATTGAAGTTTCTGAACTATTTTCAGAGGCAGCCCAGGTGCATTGCAAGTAATCTAATCAGTATAATACACACGTACAGCGTTTCACAACAACTTATTCAGTAACAAAGATATCACCACGATAGATGTGAACCTGTAGCAAAACTAAGAAAAGTTCCAGCCTTGTAATATAGCAAACAGCTTCTGCAAGGAGTTCCAGCCTGGTGAGCAGCTAGATATAAGTCCGTTTCGCGGTGAATCTTCCTCAGGAATTGTTCTTAGTTGGTCCTCCTTTGGAGTAATATCCTCTTGTTTTCAATTATGTGTCCTTTTTTTTTAACCAAAATATTTTTATTCATTTTAGTTACAGTACAAAATAACACTTTCAATTATGTGTTCATAAAAGGAGCACGCCAGTCATTTGAAATTATGTTGATGTGGTGTGAAGCCTACTGATTCTAACAACGTTGACCTGTAGTCTGACTCATTGTAAGCCAGCTTTACACATTCTAAGTATATATGCAAGTGAAAAACAAGTTTGCTTTAGAACTCAAAATTACATCGAGGGAAGATGTACACAGACCTGTGTGTGAGGGACTCCTCTTACTAGCTCAAAAAGGTGTTATGAGTTACAGGTCTATGATCAGATCATGAGGGAAGAAAATGGCCTTCTGAACAGTAACAGTTTCTCTGGAGAACTCCATCCTTAAAGAAATCTACAGGTTAATATGGCAGTGAAAATAGGATTACAAGCTCTAGGTTGGGTAACTCCTGGAGATTTGGAGGTGGAGCTTGGGGAGGACAGGGGCCTCCATCGGGTACAATACTATAGAGCCCACCCTCCAAAGCATCACTTTTCTTCAGGGGAACTGATCTCTGTAGTCTGGAGGTGAGCTGTAATTCCTGGGGATCCCCAGGTCCCAGCTGGAGGCTGGCATCCCTAAGTGAAGATGATTCCATTTCTGCTAACGTTTGGAAGGTGAAGGGTACTATTGATACACGTTCTGATGCTAAACTTATGTATGTGTAGGTAATTTCAGTGGGGATTACTCTTAAATTAGTGTGCAGACCAATTAACTCTATGGGCTTTTTAAAAAAAAAACATTTTAATAGTGTATCTGCTGGGATCCCCAGGTCCCAGTTGGAGGCTGGCAGCCCTAAGTGAAGATGATTCCATTTCAGCTAACGTTTGGAAGATGAAGGGTACTATTGATACACGTTCTGATGCTAAACTTATGTATGTGTAGGTAATTTCAGTGGGGATTACTCTTAAATTAGTGTGCAGACCAATTAACTCTATGGTTTTTAAATATATATATATATAGTGTATCTGCTCTTATTTTAAATGTTTTTATGCATGCTTTATGATAATACTGCTACCTGTCCTGAAGGCAATTGGCCATGAAGTGTAATATAAAAATTGATAGACAGGTAAATCAGTTCAAGCCTATGCCTGCTTAAAAATGCATCTCTACCAGATTGTGTACAGTAGAGCCTCATTTTTCCGAAGTCTCATTTAATTTTGTAATGTAAATTTCCTAAGTAACATGCTGTATTAACCATATCAACCATTTTAAAACACACAAAAAAGAGGACAATAATATATATTTATATGTTAGTGTAATGTTTCTTGGAGTCATACAAGGCCTTTCAGTTTGTCATTTCTTGGCAGATTCATTTGTAAGCAAAGTTGGATTCTTTTCTCACAGCATATAAAATAACACTTTTAAAATAATACTTAACATATCATTAATTAAGATGGTTAGTGTGGTATTGATGGAAGTTTTCTACATCTTCGATGGTTTCAGGCAAGGTTCTCCCTTTAGTCTCAGGCAGAAGTAGCACGGTTCCACCAGCAATCAAACCAACTAAAGCTACCAAAGAAATGCACAAAAGACAGAATTAGAATTCAAGATGCAATGTATTACATTGCACTTTAAAAAGTTACAGACCTGATCATAGGCAGCAATCCTATGCGTTTGAGATTGCATTCCTTTCAATTTAGTGGGACTCAGGATTAACCTAAATAAGAGATTGGAGACTGGATCTCCCACCTTTAAAAAAAATCCTTTAAAGGGGTAGGGGCATTACACTCAACAGGTGTTGAGCAAGAAGATTCACAATGGAAAGTATGTTATTGCAATGTACATTGTCCTCTCAGTGTACTATTTGCCCCATGATAAATAAATAAAATAAATAAGTAGAAGAAAATAGGCAGATGCCTTAGGTCCACACTGATCTTACTCCCTTCCAACACACTACCACCAGACCTTCAGGAATTTCCCAAACCAGAGTTAGCAACTGGAGGTACCAGTCTGGCCACTTTTTAGTAGTACTCTGTACCAGTTTACTTTTACCCCAAGAGTAGAAACTTGAAGACCATTTTGATACAAATCAGTTTGTTGTGACTTCCAAATCGAGCAAAATGATAAAAAGTGTTGTGGGGGGTTTCCTGCCTGCAGATGGGTATTGCAAACCAGAATTGAACATGGTTTAGAATCTCAGTTTGTTACCAAGAAACAGCTACAGCTTGCATATGGTATGGGTGACTCCATGTGTGTTACATGCTGGTGCTTATTTGCCCTAAGCTTCAGGAATTTCCCAAACCAGAGTTAGCAACTGGAGGTACCAGTCTGGCCACTTTTTAGTAGTACTCTGTACCAGTTTACTTTTACCCCAAGAGTAGAAACTGGAAGACCATTTTGATACAAATCAGTTTGTTGTGACTTCCAAATCGAGCAAAATGATAAAAAGTGTTGTGGGGGGTTTCCTGCCTACAGATGGGTATTGCAAACCAGAATTGAACATGGTTTAGAATCTCAGTTTGTTACCAAGAAACAGCCACAGCTTGTATATGGTATGGGTGACTCCATCTTTGTTACATGCTGGTGCTTATTTGCCCTAATTCTTGTGAGAGGATAGTGTTTAGCCACTCTCAAGGGAACTTTCCTCTCTCTCATGCTTGTTAGCAGAGCTTATCTTCAAAGCCTGGGTTGTTCCATAGCCCCACTGGAAGCCAAGTGCAAGTTGGGCTGACTTATCCAAGTGTTTGGAATAACTTAATTAATTATTATTTGACTGGTAGCCAACATTTAGGATATAAGACACCTAGTTTTAGTCCTGCATGTTGTCTTGGATTCTGGCAAGCTTCAGTGTGTGCAAGGGCCATCTTAGCTTGTATCTTCTGTAACGTTGATGCTTTATTAAAAATCTTCTTGTAAGCAAACCTGGATCTCGCATATAATTTCCTTGGGATTGCTTTGAACCTTGGAACAGCTTGTCATTTTGCCTTATGTGGACAACAAACTTGTATCAAACAAAAAGTCTTTATTATATAAGCAAGGGAAGGAAGGATGAAAAATACGGTACATAAGCTAATCTCATCCTGATGAAACAAAAGGTCCCCCCCCCCGGTGATATCTGAATGCAGTCTACAATCTTAATACCATGATAACTTAGGTATGTTTCATATGCCCAGAATACTACAAAATACTTACTAAAGACTACAAGAGGTAGCTCATGCCAGATCTCTGCTAGCCTATAAACAACGAATGGTGATATTATTCCACCCAAATCACATAAGGAAGAACAGACCATCACACCAAGGTTTCTGGGCAAAAAGAAATATATAATACATTATTATAGAAAAGATTTGCAAAACAAAAATATTGAGGTTGAAAAGCTGGTGCACAGCACCTACTTTTTGGGTATGGAGTAGAAAGATATGTCTACACCCCTTTCCACAATTAGAGTTTATGTTTACTTTAGCACCCCCAATTCCCTGAGCAGTCCCCAGTCTTCAGGATAGCGCTGCAAGATTTATTTTTCTGTTAGGGTTGCCAAGTCTGAGTACAAAAATACCTGGAGACTTTGGGGGTGGATCTGGGAGAGGGTGGGGTTTGTGGAGGGGAGGGGCCTCAGCAAGATCCAATACCATGGAGTCCACCCTCCAAAGCAGCTATTTTCTCCAGGGGAGCTGATCTCTGTCAGCTGGGGATCAGTTGTAAAAGCGGGAGATCTCCAGGTCCCACCTGGAGGCTGACAACCCTATTTTCTGTGGAGAAGAGAGCACTGGAGGCTATGGTACCTTTATAGTATTTACAAATATGAGAGGAGAACACCATGCAGTTCACAGTTAGAGGATTTTTGTGGACGCATGAAGCTGCTTTATACTGAATCAGACCATCTCTCCATCAAGGTCATCTTTTTTTTTAATTCAGACTGGCAGCAGCTCTCTGAGGTCTTCAGCAGAAGCTGTTTACATCACCTACTACCTGATTTCCTGTTGCTTGATAAGTAGGTCGCAGAGGAGTGACTGAGTAAGTTCCACAAGCTTAGGTCGGTTTGCCAGCAGTGGCTGTTACTGGGAAATGCTGATCTTGCCAAATCCTTGCCTTGATGACATCCAGATAAAATGTGCTTTACATAAAGCAGTTTATGAATATGACCAGAAACTTCAGTTAGTTCAAAAGATGGTCACAAGAGTTTCAACAGCATCCCACCACAATATTACCTCACCCCCTATATTAGATTACATATACTGGTTACCAGTTTGTTTCTGGGCCCACTTCAAAGGTCCATTAAAGCCCTAAATGTCTTATGACCAAGGATACTTGTGGTGCTACCTCTGCATATACAAGCCTAGCCATGATCCCTAATCAGCTTCTAGTGCCCCTATTCTGCATGTGTGCATTAACAGTTCAGGCTGATTTCCAGACAACAGAGACCAGGTCCCCCAGAGAAAATGGCAGCTTCAGAGGACAGAGTCAGGGGTATGCCATACATTTTAGGCAAGATCCCTGCAAATTCTCTCCAACTAGAGTTGCCATCCTTCAGGTGGGGCCTGGAGTTCTTTCAGAATTCTTTGCTGCTTCTGATATTTTTTTAAAAAATTAATGCTGTTTTATCACCATTTTAATATTCTGCTGCTTTTTAAGATGTTTTTTAAAAATTGCTGTAACTTTAAAAATCTTCTGTTGTAACATAAATCTTCCAAATAAATACATCAGACACTACAGTAACTGATCACTGCAGAATGTTGCAGGGCTACACGGTCACTAAAATGGCCAGGAAACTGGGAGAAGGTTTAGATTCCCTAAGGATCAGGAGATGGACCATCTAAATATGGAGAATTTAAGTGATTTCCCTGTGTAAATAATCTGATATTTGCTTTTCCCACTCAAAACCCCACAAGATGTACAAGGAGGTAAAACCCCATAGTTTCACATGAGTGACGGTTCATTTTACTGGCAACTTTTTAAGATGTCAACATCTTCTTAAATTATGCCAAGAATATTCTACAAGAAACAGCTTCTTAGAAGAAAGGAAATACAACATCAACTTTTTGGTGCCTCATCTTCTGTTTTCTAGCTTTTTATCCTCAGCAGTTCTTTCTCTACTTCACGTCAGCGAAGCAGATTCTATTTATACATAATTTCCTGACTATTCTATCTACACTAGACCTATCTACATTACTACATTGCCAAACATGCCTCCAGTCACTATCTGCATTAGTGAGATATCACAGACTTCCTGAGAAAAGTACAATCTGTTAACAGTCTTCCAGGGAACACTATTTTGGTCACCATGGATGTTGAGTCTCTATACACAAAACCCCCCCACAAAAATGGACTACAAGCTATTAGGAAAATCATCTCTGACAACACCATGGCCAACATCACTACCAAACTCTGTGTTTGTCCTCACCCACAACTACTACAGATATGGTAAAGATTTATTCCTTCTGATCAATTCCTTCTTATCAATTGCACCCGCATGGCACCACAATATGCCAGCATTTTCATGGCTAAACTAAAGCAGCATTTCCTCAGCACCCAGCTGTTAACACCCCTCTTGTACCTGAGATCTACTTATGACATTTTTATCATTTAGACACATGAGAAAGAAGCATGGAGCATTCCATGCAAGAAACACACATTCTAGACACTGCTGTAAAATACGTAATGGAAGCACAAAAACCATCTTATACTGGAAACCTACTGATTGCCCAACATGCCCCCCAGTCACTATCTGCAACACATTAAATGATCCATTGTCTACAGCCAAACTCTATGTTACAGCCACATCTGTTCCAATCCCTCAGACAGATATTCTCATCTGCAGGATCTACAACAGACATTCTTGGAACTATAGTATCCACCTGATGTAGTAAGGAAACAGATAAACAAAGCCAGAAGGATACCAAGGGATAACCTGCTACAAGATAGGCCCAAACAAAACAACAGCAGAACGTCTCTGGTGGGTCACATACATTAATGAACTAAAACCCATGCCAGACAATAATATTCCTCCCTCACAGGCATTGAGAGACAAACCTTTTCTCGTCTACAGACAGCCTCCTTAAACAACTTCTCACCCACAGCAATACCCTTCCAAACATTGACTTTGGGACCAGGGCCAGCAACAAACCAAAATGCGAACTCTCTTCCCATATATAGTCTGCCAAAACAATAACAGGACCCAACAAAACCAGTCATACCATCACAGGTTCATTCACTTGTTCAGCTTCCAATATTATATATGCCATTAAATGTCAGCAGTGCCCTTCCACTCTCTAAATTGGATAAACAGTTCAGTCCAAACTCAAAAGAATAAATGGTCATAAATCTGACATTGAAAACCACAACACACAAAAGCCAGTGGGAGAACATTTTAATCTTCCAGGTCATTCCATGGCTGACCTAAGAGTGGCAGTCCTCAAACAAACCAAACAAAACACAACAAAACCTTCAAGGGGAAATTACAATGTGAGATTGCTGAAGCTGAGTAAATTCATGAGTTCAAAACAATGGTGCTCCCAGGGCTGAACGGGGACATGGGATTCTTATCTCATTACAGATGCTAAGTTTCTGCCCTCAAGCATTTCCCCTCTGCTCTAATCAAGCTGATTACAATATGCATTGTACTTCCGCATCCTTTACAAGTATTTTTTTCAACACCCCTCCCACCTTCTGACTGGAATAAAAAGACTCTGAGATCTCCATTCCTACTCCTGTCCAATGAAGGGAGCTTTGACTCTTGAAAGCTTCTACTGTGAAACTCTTCTTGGTGCCTAAAGTGCTACTGGACTCGACTCTAACTGTTCTACTGCAGACCAAAACCCCTACCCTCTGAAACTACATCAGCACTGCTATTCTTGCAAATATATATGTGTAGGAGGTGGGGGAGTGTGTTGGAAGCCATCAAAGAGGCTGGGCCAGCAGCATTGCTTCACCTCACAGGCGGTTGGCCATTCCTGATTTCCTCAACTGTCATTAGCTTTGTGCAGTCCCCTGTAACTGAGGAGGCTGAAGTTGGTTCTTTATTCGCACTTCCTTATTCATTCCTTATTCGTTACTTATTTAAATAAGTAATGAATAATGAATTAATAAGGAAGTGCGAATAAGGAACCAACGAATAAGTAATGAATAAGGAATGAATAAGAAAGTGCAAATAAGGAACCAACTTCTGCCTCCTCTGTAACGGTTGGATTTTTTTTACCTCAGAACACTGAGCTCTGCAGCTGACCAATCAGAAAGTGGGGAGTGCAGGGAGTCAGCTGCCTGGGAGCCGCATAGGAATCAATGGGGTGAGCACATTTCCCCCCTTTTGACCCACTTAGGGGTCGAATTTCTAAAAATCCCTTCTTAGCAAGCATCTACGTCATGGTAGGAACGCGCTCCCCGAATTTGGTGTCTCTAGGTCCAGCGGCTTGGCCTGGGTGTTAATTTTACGGTGAGGGGACTTTCTTCTATATATATAGATGTGTGGTCAATAAAGCAGTGTGCAATTCCAGTAGCCACTTTTCCTTTGACGGTAAAAATACTTACCTGAGAAACGTTGGATACAATTCAGTATTGACAAAGCAAACCATTTCAAAAGCCATAGTGATCCCCAGTCTGCCAAGACAAGCTAAAGTAACCTTGAGCCAGAGCATATCTGGAATGCAAACATTAACACATAATGTTTCCATGTAGCTCATTAATAACAATGACAAAAGGGTAGAGACAGACAGAGGTTTTTTTTTCAGACACACCCTATTTCTGAATTATGGTAAGCGCCAGAGGCAAAGATACTGGGTTTAGTTTCCTTGGAACAAGACAGGTGAAAACGTATTGTGCTCCTGCTGATGCAACAGGCTCAACTGGCAGAGAAGGAATGACCTCTGCTCAGTAAATCCCTGTGCCCCATGGCATTTTGTCCACAACTCCCAGCACCAACTTTTCCAGAGTCAAAGGGGAAGGTAGGAGTGACCTGCATTCAGCATCACCACTGCACCTGAGGTTTGTAGATTCAACTCATGGTGGTTTTGTAATATTTGCTTTCTTTTCAGAAATGGCAGCTGAGGGCATTGGAATCCAGTGTCAGCCCTTGCATGCTAAGGAGTTTCACCTCCAATTAACTTAGAGCTCCAAAAATCCTCTCACTCTATCTGCAATATATATATATATATTTAACTGTCCTTCTGTCCCCTCTGGTGGAGAGATGTTACCTTCTCCAAGCTTATAGGGGTATAGGGGTATTTTATGTTACCTTCTCCAAGCTTATAGGGGTATTTCATTCCAAAAGCTGTAAAGTGATTTCTAGCTATCAGGAGAACATTTCCTGTCATTAACTCCCATTGACGAGGCATCAGCTGTTCAACTGACAATCTGGAAGTATTAGCAAGTGTTTAAGCTTTACAAAGAGAGGTCTGTCAACAGCCCACACATCTCACTGTCCTTTCTTCTCCAAACAAATTTAACAGCCTTTTTTTGTTTTAGTGCTTCAGTGGTAGTGAATCCCCAAGGGCACCTTGTGGATTGCACATTAATGGTAGCAGCATACCATCTGAGTTGCACTCCAGTATCCTGCTTGTTGCTGGAAAGGATCTTGGGTAGATATTTTGAACATTAATCCTCTTCACTGGTGGCTTGTCAAAATTCAAGCACAGTGCCCACCTTAGCATCCTTTGCAAAATTGCTGGGAGTTCCTGACTGCACTTGTCGGATTGTACATGACAGTATGCAGTGTACAATCTGAGAGTTGCTCCCCAGGCATCAACTGCGGTATCATAAGGGAGCTTGAAGTACGTTTCTTGTATCATATGGAACATTTCTTTCCCTTTCCACCTTGTTTTGAACTGTTGGTGTTTAAATATGCGGCACTGACAGTGAATTCCTAAACAGAATTTGACGTCAATAGGCGTAAGAAGGGTGTAACTCCGCTTGGGATGGGACTGTAAGTGACTTCTTGCCATGGTTATGTAATCCTAAAACAGAGGGATGAGGGCAGAAGACAAAGTATGCAGAAATTCACCCTGCAGAAAATATGCATCCAAAGCCATTTTGCAAATAAAGGATGTTGCAATTCTGTCCTGAGTCAAGGTGAGTTAAATATATATTAATGGAAAATATTGACTTGCCATTCGGAGTGAAAGCTGTAGCCAGGCAGGCAATTCCTGCCACAAAATTTGCTGCAGCCCAGGGATAGCGGCGACCTATGCGCTCAATTGTGAATATGAGTATGAGGGCAGCAGGAAATTCCACAAGAGAAGCGTAGAAAAAATCCAAATAAACGTTGCCTTCAGAAACTCCCAGGTACATGATGAGGCCCTGGTACGTCACAGCACTTGTGAACCTAGAAAAAGAAGAGCAATCATGATTAACTGTAAATAGATTTTCAAGTGGGTAGCCATGTTGGTAAGAACATAAGAGATGCCAATGTTGGATCAGGCCAAAGGCCCATCCCGTCAAACACTCTGTGTCACACAGTGGTCAGAAATACCAGTGCCATCAGGAGGTCCACCAGTGGGGCCAGGACATTACTAATTCCCTTTTGAAGCCGTCCATGCTTGTAGCACCCACCACTTCCTGTGGCAGTGAATTCCATGTGTTAATCACTCTTTGGGTGAAGAAGTACTTCCTTTTATCCGTTCTAACCCGACCGCTCAGCAATTTCATGGAGTGCCCACGGGTTCTTGTATTGTGAGAAAGGGAGAAAAGTACCTCTTTCTCTACCTGCTCTTTCCCATGCATAATCTTATAAACCTCGATCATGTCACCCCTCAGTCGTCTTTTCTCCAAGCTAAAGAGCCCTAAGCGCTTTAACCTTTCCTCATAGGGAAAGTGTTCCAACCCTTTTATCATTCGAGTTGCCCTTTTCTGCACTTTTTCCAAAGCTATAATATCCTTTTTAAGGTGTGGTTACCAGAACTGCACACAGTATTCCAAATGAGGTCTCACCATTGATTTATATAGGGGCATTATGATATTGGCTGATGTGTTTTCAATACCCTTCCTAATAATCCCCAGCATAGCATTGGCCTTCTTTATTGCAGTCACACACTGTCTTGACATTTTCAGGGAGTTATCTACTACAACTCCAAGATCTCTCTCTTGATCAGACTCTGCCAGTTCAGACCCCATCAATGTGTACTAAATTTAGTATTTTTGGCTCCAATGTGCATCACCTTGCACTTGGCCACATTGAACCCCATTTGCCATGTTGACGCCCACTTGCCCATCCTTGACAGATCCCTTTGGAGTGCCTCACAATCCTCACTGGTTTTCACCACCCTGAACAACTTTGTATCATCCGCAAAGTGAATAATGTATTGGGTAACATGATGGGAACTGGAGGAAAGAGAACAAGAATAAAGAGCTGAAAAGTTTTCTTACCAGTTATACATCAAAATAAATGTGTATTTTCTCATCTGTGGTGTCTTCACAAGATCAATAAGTGAAGGGCTCAGTTTTTCACCATCTTCATCTCCCTCTTCAAGGGTAATACTCTATAGAAGAACTGTGCAAAGTTAATCAAGGATGACAGGCTTGGTTAATTTTACATTTATTAAGGAAATAGCAGATTCCAGACAACTCTGTGTATTTTGATATTAAACATTTTCCTGCACACCCCATTTGTGGGTAACCCTGTTTTGTTGCCCTAATGTAGATGCTCAATCATGAACTTTAGTATTCAAGGGAACAAGCTGGTGCCCTACAAGCAATGTTCCCTCTAAGCTGTGGAGTCTTGTGAGCAAAAAATCTACTTTGTGAGCTGCTGGCATTCAAGTTGTGAGCGAGCGATTTGGCTACTGCATAAATTAGTTGGCTCTGGAGCCATCCTTCCTGAGCTGAGACAAAAATGGGTGAGCCGGAGGCTTAAAAACTGTGATCTAGCTCACACTCACTCAGCTTAGAGGGAACACTGCCTACAAGGAAACACATTGGAGAGCAACGTCACATGGAAACCTCAGCCTGCCCCAAATCCCTTCTCCTCCAGGATTCTATAACATTGCAGGGACTTGAGGAGGCGAGTTAAACATGCACAGGCTAGCCTGTAGTGACTGATGTAATTTAGAAATGCATCCTTATATGAACATAGAGGATGGGGGCTTACAGAGGATACCTGCTGGCTGGGGGGAGGGCACCTGCAGGCAGTAGGGATCAGAGAGCAGCATTCAGAGAAACTTAGGAGAATACTATGTTTATTTGGCAATAAACTATTACTTTTACTTTGGTATGTCCCTCATATGATTGAACACTAACAACATATTACATGGAGTCAAAAGTGGCAAGCCAAACATACATTTGAAGCAGGAGTAGGAGAAACTGAATACTGTGGGCATGAATGAAGACCTCCATCCAAGGATTTGAGGCCTGATTGCAAAACAACAAGCATAAAAGTAACTGGATTTTCAGGAGTTACTATGCCAGTGAAGGGATGGTGTATTGCTACTGTCACACATAAAGACATCAGGTTATTACAGTACTTAAAAAGGTGATCCCAGTCTTGGGTCTGATTGGCAGTATGTGAGAAGCTTAATTTACTCAAAAAGATGCTGGCCAAAACCAAAAAACCTCAGTGTACACTTGTTTGGCAGGTGTTTTGAGTCATTCAAAGCCAATCAAATAAATCGAGTGATCAGCTCATATCTGATCAGTGTATTTGATCATGGTACATTTGACATGAAATTTGCAGCACCCCAACTCTGAATGTGGACAACCTAGCTTAATCCTAGCTTGTTCCCCTGTGGTACCCTTACTGCAATTCAGGCTGAGATGCCAGTGATCTGAATGGGAGGCAGGGGAAAAGTGAAGGCAGTGAAACAAGCATTGGTCAAGGCAAATCTGGGTTTGAGTGAGTGAAATATACTGGGTTTGACACGCATTAGTGATCAGCTCATAGTTTATTGTGATTTCAGCTCGGAACTAAGGACAACTCTAGCAGGGCCGGGGCCCTGCTTATAAGCCCGTAAAACAGCACACCCATCACACATCCACTCCCAACAATAGGCTATTTACAGAGGCACTCCTGGGTGATAGGTCCATCCCAGGATCCTAGCAGTCCATTGCTCTGTGTCCCCAAGCTGGGGCTGATGAGATTAGGCTCAGTACACAACAGTGAGTCAGATTTTGGTTTCACAAACTAACCTTAGATGGTTTCACATTATGTGTACACTAAGCCACAGTGACTGGCTGGAAGTCCGAAAGGAATCGTGTTGGAGGGTGGACAGTGCGGAAATCCCACCCTACCCAAAATCTCCCCCTCAAGAATTCTGTAAACTTGAAACTTGTGCTTTATTTTAAGAGTCTAATTCTGTACTAGATATTAGAGGACACACATTTCTGGCAGTACTTCATAGGTAAAGAGCAATGAAACCTAATAATAGTGACAAATGTTGATCAGTTCTGCTCTCAAGCAGCTGACCTTACTGCTAGAATCACATGTACCACTGTTATAAGGAATACTAATATTACTGCCACTGTTTATCAGTATAGTACCAAGGGAGGTATTAATTCGTAAGTATGATGTTCAAAATTTACCTCAAACTGAGCAGGCAACATTTTCCCATTTGTTTTAGCAATATCACCCACAATCTCCATAGCTCTGCCGTTCTGCCCTTGGGAGATAAGCCATCTGGGAGACTCTGGGAGACACCTATAAATAAAAGCAGTCAGAGTCAGCTTAATCATCAAGTGTCATATTCCACAAAAGAACCTATTCATGAAGACTTTGGCCATAATCTCTCTTCCCCTATTGAAGCAAAGCCTAAGGAACTGGAACCAAATGAACGCTCACATTCTTCCCCTGCATATCCTAGTATCCGGCTCCTTCCCATTCCTTTTTCAGCTTCCTTGTGTAAAACATTAGACCAGGGGTGTCAAACATGCGGCCTGGGGGCCGGATCAGGCCCCTGGAGGGCTTCTATCAGGCCTGCAGTGGAACTGGCTGTCTTCTGCTTCTTCCAGTTCTGCTGCTGTGTCATCATAGGTTTGTGACTTACAGATACACACGTAAACAGTAATGACACACATGGCCCACCCCAACAAGGTCTCATTTATGTCAGATCCAGCCCTCATAACAAATGAGTTTGACACCCCTGTGTTAGACTGTGCGTTGAGGTATTCTGGTATTCAGAAAAGCACCCAGTATAACACACTTTATAACTAAAGTATAGTTTGTTCCAGCATGGCAAAAAGACTCATGGGAAATTTATGAAACGAGACAAGATACTAGAGATCCATAACTGAATCTTTGTCTAGTCTCTTTAAATTTCTGTTAACAGCAGCATTAGGATAGTATTTCCCTCTGTCATATCCCTAATTTATCCCCCCCCCTTCCCCTCAGCTATTATTTTTCTTGATAGGATACCCATTTGTTTTCCCTATGGGGCAAATAACAGTTGGGTGGGGATGATGTACACTAAGAAAACACCAATGGAGGGAAACGTTAACATCCCCAGTGCCAAGTCCTGCCTTAATCCACACACGCTATTGCTATTCATGACAAATGGAATGAGACAGGAGATCTATCATGGATCTTCAAAATCTTTCCCAGTTTGACCTAGGGGCTATTTATTACAGCACAGTCCACTCAACAACAGGGCAAAAAGAAAGAACACTCTTCTTTGAAATACTGTTCCCCAAATGCAGTATTTTGCTTTAAGCCATAGGAACCAGTTTACATACATGGGGGAGGGGGGAGAGGCACCAGTGTGGTGGATTCTGCTCTGAGTTCTAGTGACTCCAGCTTCTGAGAATCAAGCCTCTTGCTGTCTATATAGACTCATACCTTCAGAGCTCCATCCTAGGGTTCTGTTTCTTGGACATACAATGTTGGAAAACACTTTTATAGCTATTGATGAGGAGAAGTAAACAGAGCTGAAACCTCATTACCAGTAGTAGAGCAAAAGCAGGAAGGTTGGCAAGGTAATAGCAAGCTGAAGCCATCTCCAGTGGGGAATTGCATAAGCAACCGCATCAAGGATGAGAAGACCAACAGCAAATGCCGCTTGATAGAGAATGGCCACGGTCCTCCTGTACCCTGGGCCAACAATTTCTGTGACTGAAAAATAAATTATCTGATCTTTGTAATTATATTTTCATAGAAAGTAAGGTTCAGATAGTACTTAAATGAAATGTTACCCATTGGGGACTAAGCCTGGTTAGTTTAAAATTAAACTGCCCCCTCATCAATACGCACACAGGTTAGCACCCCACAGCAGCAATGGTCTGGCATGATAAACTTGTAACCCAGTTTAAGTGAGATGCTGTCTGTGAGGAAAAGATTCTTACCTGATACATTGAAATTAGGCTTTAGAGCTGATTCATGCAAGCTTTTGATATATGAACCCTAAGCATGGGACAACACAGGAATGAGTCTTGGGCTTGTGTACTGCCCTCCCCCGATGTATAGAACATGTGACTTGTGGGATTCACACATGCACTGCATGACTATATGATTCACTCCCTTCTTGTAACATGTATTATGTGCACATATGCGTTTTGTGGTTTGTGATTTGTCTCTATATATTATTGTTTATTGTAGTATATCACATGGGATGTTAGATGTCCTTGGAGGCCATACTCAGGCCCATGACTTTTACACCTAAATATTAAGGGGCTCTATAAACTTTAGTAAACAGACAAACAATTTATTCCAGAATATTCCATTGCTTATGATGGATTGTTGTAAATTTGTGTATAAAGTGAGAACTCTGCTGAATTTTGAAGGATTACAATGAAATCTGTTATATCCATCTTCTAGGAGGCTGAGAGGGATCTTTAAAAAACCTCCGTGTTATGTCTCCCTTAAAGACTGAGACAACAGAACGAAAGGTGGGTACAGTTGCCAGCTCTGTGTTGGGAAATTCACAGAGATTTGAAGCTAGAGGCTGGGAAGGTTGGAGTCTAGGGAGGGGAGATACCTCAGAGGGTCCGCCCTCCAAAGCTCCCATTTTTTCCAGGGAAACTGATCTCTAATCTAATTCTAGATCTTCAGGCCACACCTGGAGGTTAGACAAACATAAAGAAACACCGTGTTAGAAAAAAAACAACACTCCACTAATATGCACTTGTGTCTTCATATATTGATTTACAAACAATAGAGACCCTAGTATATCTTATACACATTCATTATAGTACAAAAACCTAAAGTACATTATATATCTACTAATAGAAAAGTCCACTGCTACAGAGACCTATGCCAATGCTGTAGACTATCTTGCTCCTGATAAGAGACTGATGGAGGTTGCAACAGTCGTAAATGATGAGAGATTCAGCAGGCTGTTATATTCTGCACAAAAAGTGATTCAGCAAGATATACTAGGGTCTCTGTTGTTTGTAAATCAATATATGAAGACACAAGTGCATACTAGTGAAGTGTGTTTTGTTCTAACACGGTGTTTCTTTATGTTTGTCTAACTTTGCTGTGTTCCCTGTGTGTTTGTTGCCACACCTGGAGGTTGGTGACCCTATGTGTGACTGAGAGCACCATTCTACTTTTCAAGTGTGAATCCCAATTCAGTCCCTATACCATTTTGGGGGGAGGGGAGAGATGAAAAACAGATTACAATACGACATATGAAGGAAACGTTTTGGACACTCTACGTCACTCTTTTGTATTAAGCACAAACACAAGTCCCACCATGACTTAAGACATATGGGACCCAAAGATAAAGTTGTGTCTTAATCTTTGCATTTCTTGCATATTAGCTGAAATGAAAACACAATGAAAATAAACACATGCATTTGTCAGAGAAAGCAGAATGCCTAGAAAAACAGGCTACAGTGCACAGTTTTGTGTTTCGCAATCTTTTGAGTGAAGCAGAAAAGGCTCTCTGTATGAGCCCAGCCATTTCCCCCTAGTGGTAGAATCCCTTAGGCAAATGACTTCATACATGCAAATAGAGAGTCTACACAGCAGAAATGTTAGTTTTACTTTGCTGTGTTCCCTCTTTAAACACAGCTAAGAAAGCCGTTATCTAGGGAAGTCTCCTGGGGAGTTTCTGTGAGGTGTTGATTAGCAATGGAGGGGAAGCAAACTCTGGGGGTACAAAGAAAATAAATGCCTGTGAGAAAGACATCAAGGAGCTGAGGAGGAGGAAGAGGGGAGCTGCATTTCATCCTTAGCAGAGGTCATGTAACAGTCTGAGGACTGACTTACGTAAGCAGCTCTTTGGATAAGTTTCCTGCATTCTGGTGCAGGACTCTTCTTTTGCACATTGACTTTGGGAACTATATTTTCTTTTCTCTCATGCCTTGATTTGGGAACTGATTTCTTGGAATAACCCTTAACTGTGTGTATTATAATTTAGTATTCATTATACAAATCAGTCAAAATTCTAATGTGTTCTCCTCTTCCTCAGATTTGAATAAAACGTCTTCTTTGGGGATTGTAATTCAGGCAAGTGTGTGGAGACACACACACTACTTTGTGACCACTGACAGACATTTAGAAGGCCTAGCTAGGGTTGCCACCTCTGGGTTGGGAAACACCTGGAGATTTGGGGGGGGGAGTGGAGCCTTCAGGCGGCGACTGCAGATCTCCTGGTATTATAACTGATCTCCAGGCGACAGGAAAAAAAAACAGCTTTGAACGCTGAACTCTGTGGCATTATACCCCTTTGGTGAGGCTATCTCCCCTTCACCAAACCCCACTCTCTTCAGACTCCACCCCCAAAATCTCAAGGTATTTCCCAATCCAGACCTTGCAACCCTAAGTGTAGTGCCTGTAGAGGGTGAAATTTTGGGAGGCATTTCACCTAGAATCTACGGTATACCTCGGAAGCTGCCATTTTCTCCAGGGGAACCGGTCTCTGTAGTCTGGAGAGCAGCTGTAATTCTGGGGAAACTGGAGGTTGGCACCTTAACTGGTTCACACATACAAGGGAACAAGGGGTCATTTAAAACATGACTGTGGTGCATCTTATCTTTGTGATCTTCTATGCATCCAGTTTCTCCTTTAATTTGGTCCTCAGCTGATTCTAGGGTTGTCAACCTACAGGTGGTATGAACAACATTTATAAGATTTACATTGCTTTTCTGAAACTTTACAAAATTGCAACAATTTGTCCAACATTCTCACTTATACAATATTGCAAAAAAGTACACTACAAAATTGCAACAATTTGTCCAACATTCTCACTTATACAATATTGCAAAAAAGTACACTACTTTTCTGCAATATTGTATAAGTGAGAATGTTGGACAAATTGTTGCAATTTTGTAAAGTTTCAGAAAAGCAATGTAAATCTTATAAATGTTGTTCATATCACAGGGTTTGCTTGTGGTTTTTTCCCTGTGGATATCTGTGATCCCTTTTGTTTTGTGCTGTATCTATTGGGGATGCAGACACATGATGGAGTAAGCAAGTATTTATATATTAATTATCACAGTCATTATAAGAAATTAAATAGTTTATATATTTACAGAGGTTCAGCCTACAATAATGTCATGTTACTTTAAGAAAGAAATGTTCAACATGCAGTTGCATGGTATTAACTAGTATAGTCTTTATAGTGTCTGGATCCAGTTAGTTGTAGAGAGCCTTTGCCAGCCAGAAAATGAAGGCTTTAGCCGGGTGAAATAGTATAGAGCATTTGCCAGTCAGAATAATAAAGGCTCTAGCCAGATAAAATATACTAAGGACTGGATTGCTACTACCTAAATAAGTTAGTGTTTGTGGAGAGCATGGCCAGTAAAATCCAGGAGGCTTTTTTGTACCTACAGAGGATTGGCTTGCTCCAAAAATAAATAAACAGTTATTATGGAACCAGAAGTAGGTTTTCTAAAAGTTAAATTATTACAAAAACTAAATTATTATAAGTTTAAAATAACTATTTTCCATGCAGCTTCATGTGGAGTTTTATTGATTATGGTTTATTCCAGGATATTATGAAGGAAATTAAGAATTTACAATGCTGAGCTGGATTTAAGAAGCTGACACCTCCTTTAAATATTGGATTACATCTGAAGAAGACTGTAACATTGAAATGAGTTCACAACTGGGTACTCATTATGTTGGACAATGTTGGACTTTTTTGCAATATTGTATAAGTGAGAATGCTGGACAAATTGTTGCAATTTTGTAAAGTTTCAGAAAAGCAATGTAAATCTCATAAATGTTGTTCATATCACAGGGTTTGCTTGTGGGTTTTTTCCCTGTGGATATCTGTGATCCCTTTTGTTTTGTGCTGCAACCTCCAGGTGGTGGCTGGAGATCTCCCAGGATTACAACTGAACTCCAGGCTATGGAGGTCAGTTCACCTGGAGAAAATGGATGCCTTGGAGGGTGGACTCTGTGCCATTATGCCCCACTGAAGTCTCTCCCCTCCTCGAACCTCACCCTCCCCAGGCTCCATCCCCCAAAAATCTCCAGGTATTTCCCAATCTGGAGCAGGCAACCCTAACAGCTTCACTTGCAGCTTCAACTTGCCAAACATTATAGTTGGGTAGCTACTGCATTAGCATGTCTAGTAACAAAATCAGGGCTTTATCTTTTTAAGCTGCCTTATAGTCTGCTTCTGTTTTAGCGGTAAAAAGGTAAAGGTAAAGGTTCCCTTGCTCGAAAGCCAGTCGAATCCGACTCTAGGGTTGCGGTGCTCATCTCCGTTTCAAAGCCGAAGAGCCAGCACTGTCCGAAGACGTTTCCGTGGTCATGTGGCCAGCATGACTAAACACCAAGGCGCACGGAACGCTGTTACCTTCCCACCAAAGCGGTACCTATTTATCTACTTGCAATTTCTTGCTTTCGAACTGGTAGGTTTTTTATTTTTTATTTGTTAAAGCATTTATACCCCACCATCCTCATGGTTCAAGGTGTCTTACAATAACAGTTTAATGAAACCAGAATAAAATAGCAGGCCCTCAAGACTCTTCTTCCTGTTTAAAAGATTATCTGCCATTTTAGGATGCTCAGTGGATTTTTATTGCTGTTTTTATGTCCCAGGCTTGTTTTAACAGCTTGTTTTTCTTTTTATTGATAATTTGTTATGTTTATGTGATTTTATGGTGCTGTTTTTACTTGTACGTTGCCTCAAGTAGGACTCTGGAGAAACAGTATAACACTCCCTAAACAAACAAACAAACGAATAATAATATAATAATATAAAAAATGAATCCATTGCATAAATCCATGGCTGTGTGAAGAGAGAAGCTATTTTCAAAGGAAAGTTCCACTGAATATTTTCTTTTCTTTTCTCTGGTGCATTAGCAACAGCTGTCATCCACTCTACCCCCCACCCGGGCCCAGACAGACAGACAGTTAGCTGTTTCAGAACAGGAGATTTCTGAATCTTCTTTAATGATTCAGCTGGATGTGGTTGGGAGGGGGAGAGAAAGCTTGCTCTCACCCAGAATCTCCCTCAGAGACAGCCCAATGTTTGGTTGAAGAGGGGCAGGAGGTCTATGGCCTGCGCTTTTGTAAAGTATGGTCCATGCTGGTAGTCCACAGTCCTTACCTCTATTCCATCTCCCCTATCCATGTTACTTGCTTTGCCTTGTGCTACACCTATAGAAAGGTATGCTGCTTGCTAGGAACAGAATTTTCTAAGCTATGAGAGGACCTGTGCTGCTAAGACTTGTAAGTGTATTTAGAAAGATAGTTTTCTTATTTTCTGTGTACTTGGTACTGCCACTGGAACTATATTGCTTTTAAAATCTTTTTCTTTAGCTAAAATTCTATTTTACTCTAAGGCCCAGGAGTTGGAAACACTCAATTTGCAACCCCTCCCCTCTTTAAGAACCAGAAAGCTTTTCTGCTTAATAGATAAGACAGATTGTCAAGACCAAAGAAAAAAAGGGTTTGTAACATCTCTCTGTTCAAGAATGTCTACTTGTTAAGTTTTCCCCCCACATTATAGAAATGTCATTGTTCCAGAAGCCATTTTATATTTTGCCTAGCTTTTATTTTATTTTATTGCTATTGTTATTTTAACTTTATTTTGGGGGACCAGACGCTTTCCGTGTATGCAGAAATCCAGCTTTTTTCTCAGGGTCTTCTACCTTTTCAATGAGTCTCTCTCTCTCTCTCTCTCTCTCTGTGCAACAGATCAACACAGCAACCACCCTAGATCTTAAGCGAAGCCTTAGCTTCAGTTGCAGACTGTAAAGCGGAATTATCACAAAACAACATTGATATGGTATACCGCACCTATCCAGAATTTATTAAGAAAAACAAGCTGCTCAGTGAAGTGTTTGTGAAATTCTCTAAAAGATCAACAAGAGATATGATACTGAAAGCAACAAATGGGATAACCTTGAAAATCAAAGAAGAAGAAGAAGTCAAAGTTTTAAAAGATGTTCCATTTGAAGTGAGAAAGAGGAGGAAGCAATATAGAAACCTGACATTATTTTTACAGAAAAAATCCACTCTTTACAGATGGATTGTTCCAGACAGATTTATCTTCAACTTTAAAGAGAAAAAAGAAAAGATTGACTCTGTTATAAAAGCAAAAGCATTTTTGGAACAGCACCAAAGTTCAGCGGAAGAAAAAGGAAAAGTGGAGGACAAAAATGCTACAGAAGATAACAGCGAACATGGATCAGGAAGCACTGATAGCTCATTGAGTAGTTCTTCAGAAGGAACTCTGGACTCTGTATCAGAATTAGGAGCAGCAGCTTCTAAACCTCTCAAAATTAAGCTAACCTTTGATAAAAACAAACGCAGAGGAAAGAAAACCAACAAATAGCTTAACTCTAAATTTAGGATCTTTTTTATCTTTGATCGAAATACTAAGATGCACCCACTATGACTAACTATGCTTGTATTTGTTTGAACTAGTAATATTAGTAGTTAATCTCCTTTAAAAAAAAAACCCTAAACAATAGGGAAATACCAAGAAATTGATGTATAACAGTTATATGATCCTTGCTAACTCTGTATTTTAGTTTAGAAGATCCCTTATCCTTATTCCCTGTAGTGTGTAGAGATTAAAAGCAACAAAAATGTTTTATTTAAAAAGATCATTTTTAATCGCATAATGAAATGCTGATGTAAAAAAATTGCATTATGTAGAACATCAGCGTATCAAGCAAAGAAAGGAGGCAGAATTATTCTGCATGCTATGCTAGTTTTCCATTTCTATGGAGTTTATTATGCACAAGAACATTCAAACACTGGGATCCCGTATCTACAATCTGATAGACTGGTACAGGTCATTCTGCCAACTCAACGTTCTATAACCTTACTTCTTTTGCAGGTGTGAACCAGGAAACTTGGCCTTTCTTACTGCCCACTATTAAGCAGTAGGGTTGCCAGGTGCAAAGTGTGCATGCCGTGATGACATCACCTGCAAGTGACGTCATTGCATTGGGCACATCGTTCAGTGGATGCTCTAGCATTTGGGTAAAAAACTCTATGGTCATCATAGTTTTTACCCAAATGCTAGACCGCTAGCTGTGGCTGTCATTTTGTGGCTGGCTCCACCACCTGTGGCAGCCATTTTTTGTGGCAGCCGTTTTCTTGCTGTGCTCACCATGCCATGTCAGAATTCCAAATGTGAACACAGGCTCAAAAAGTTTTGGGATCCCTGGTGTATGGCTTTTTGAGGGAAATTTAAAAATGGACACAATATGTTCCATGAAGGATATTAATACAAGCCCATCTAGGCAGTCTTATGGAATGCAAGTTCAATTAGCAGCAACAGACTTTACTTCAAAATTTAGGACTGGAGCATTAAGGTTCCCCTGAAATCTTGGGCATTCTTCAACTTTATTCGAATGCAGACAAGAGTTTCTCAGAGAATTAAAGGTGGTGTGGTAAAAGTATCATTACCTTTGTACTGCATTATTATTTCTCTTGCCTCTTTAAACATCTGTAAAACCTATGTGATTAGAGATAGCAGTGGATGTGTACACTATAGGCAATAATGGTTCTCTCATGACACTTGCCATTCTCTTAAATAAATATTGTCTCTTCAGCTCTCATTTCTGTAATCCAACAGAGAGGCTGTTGGGAACAGGGGAAAGTATCAGACTTACTTAGGATGTAGCCTGCTGTCCAGGAGCCCTTGCTGACTAGTCCTTGCATGAATCGAAATATCACAGACCATAAGTAGTTTGGTGCCAAGGCGACAAGAACTCCTGAAATGGAACTTACCAGGGTGGTAATCAAGAGACTTGTTTTACGTCCAAACCTGTGTTGAGGGGAACAAGAAAAGGAAGAATCAGACAATAAGGACTGATAGAAACTCTCTTGTATAGTATGAACATAAATATGTAAGGAGAGTAGGGATGCCAGCCTCCAGGTGAGAACTGGGGATTCCCTGGAATTACAGCTCATCTCCAGACCACAGAGATCAGTTCCCCTGGAGAAAAATGGATGCTTTGGAGGGTGGACTCTGTGGCATTATGCCCCACTGAGGTCCCTGTCCTCCCCAGGCTCCACCCCCAGATCTCCAGGAGCTTCCCAGCCTTGATCCGTCAACCCTACCCCCCATCCCCTGCCAGTTGCCAGGGGTAGGGTCGCCAGACTCCAGGTGGGACCCGTGAGACTGGAAAATTGTATTGTTCAGTATATTTGGCATGAACTGAACAGATTTGGATAGGGATGGCAGCCTCCAGGCGGGACTTGGGGATCCCCCAGAATTACAGCTCATCTCCAGACTACAGAGATCAGTTCCCCTGGAGAAAATGGATGCTTTGGAGGGTGGACTGTATGGTATTGTTGTACCCTACTGAGGTCCTTGTTCTCCCCAGGCTCCACCCAACCTGGATCTGGCAACCCTGCCATGCCTCCCCCATTGGTGGCCAAGGGGGAACGGGTAACCCTAGGCATAATGTTAAGACTACTTTAGGATTAGGGGTCTGTTGTCTGTTTGTCTTTTGTTTCAAGGACACTTTAGAATTGTTTTTATTGTAATTATTATGCTGTTGGATAAACAAATGTTGCACATTTGCAGTCATTATTAACACAAGTAAATCTAATAGTAAATGTGTGCACATCCTTAATAGACCCTATGCTGTTGGATAAACAAATGTTGCACATGGTATTTCAGAATTGAGAACACAGAGATAATTACCAAGCAGTTAACACAAGTAAATCTAATAGTAAATGGGTGCACATCCTTAATAGACCGAATGAATTTCCATGGTACTTTGAATTTCTGAATGATTAATCTGAGATGTTAGTCAATTGAAGTTCACCCATCGGTCAGTACCTACCTACCTGTCTGCTATATAGCCAACGGTTACAGAGCCAAGGAAAAACCCAGCGTTGACACATGCCTGGAACACATCTAGCTTCCAGGAGTCTTCACACACCAAGTTGAACTGTAGGGAGACAATTAAGAATAAAACAATAAATGACCTCAGATCTTTAGAGTCACTGTTATCCAAAGCTCAGAGAAAGTGACAGTATTCTGAAGTTCATTGGCCTAATGAAATAGGAGCTCTAGAAGTACTGAAATATCTCGCTAGAAACAGGGTTGGCTCCTACCAGCCCATTTTATGGGTGCCAACATATTCCTCCAGCACAAGGAGTTCTCCCAAATCTAAGAGCACTGGCAAGAAGGTCCCTGGTGTGGGAGGAATATACTTACCATGGATTATGACAACCTCTTTTTGCACACTGAACAGCAATGTCATTTTATTTTTTTTAATAGTCACACAGTTAATAATGGAGGAACTATGTCAGCTTGTTTTTGATCTGGGCCTCATACTAGCCAGAACCTTTGTGGGTTCAGAATCATAGAATCATAGAGTTGGGAAGGGACCTCCAGGGCCATCTAGTCCAACCCCCTGCACAATGCAGGAAATTCACGAATGCCTCCCCCTCCACATCTGCAGTGACCCCTGCTCTATGCCCAGAGTGCTGCCTATAATGCAATGCTAACAAACGTATATTTTAGAGCAAAGCTAGTAGCCAAAAAATATTGATAGACAGCATGTCCACACTACAAATAGGTTTAACAGTCCTCTCCAGGCAACCAACAAGAGACCGAGGGAGGGGTTCATGGGGGGCACCACCAGTGACAATGTGATGTCACATCTGGGGGGAAAACAGAAGCGATGTCACACCTCTAGGAATTGCTGAAAACCGTGGAGTTCCCAGACATTCCTAGGACATAATCATTTAAACGGTTTCCCCAGAAGTGACATCATTTAAAGGGTTTTCATGGAAGTGACATAACACTGTTGCCTCGTGGTGATTTAAAAAAAGAAGATTATTGTTCTTTCACTGGCCATAGCAGCAGCAGTGGAAAATGGTGGCTGTCAGCAAGTGTATGGCAATATAAGAAGTATGAGAAGCTGCCTTCCCCCCTGCCTGGGACTTAGGTAGATGCCCTCTTTGAAGTTTGCATTTGCTGTAATGAGGAATGGAGTAAATTTTCCACTCCAACTAATTGCATTCAAGCTGCAGCAAAACTCAAAAGTTATAAACCATAAAATATTAGATATGACAGAGCGTCACATGGACAGGAAAACATGAATCACGAAGATTTGGGAAGTTTTTCTTCAGTCTACAAAAAATGTTGAGCCATTACTACAGGAATCAATTAGAGAATCAAGTGAAATTATTAAAATGAAGTCAAACCAAAATTCAAGAATTAACTGCTGTGGGATGAGGCTTATTTTACTCTTAAAGCAAAGAAAAATTATGCAAGGAAGACTGGCAAAATAGTTGTGCAATATATCTAAAGCAGGGGTGTCGAACTCAGTTGTTATGAGGGCTGGATCTGACATAAATGAGACCTTGTTGGGTCGGACCATGTGTGTCATAAAATGTAAGGCCAGGTCGCGGAGATATAAACTTAATAAAAGGACACAAACACAAAGGTGTTTTTTTTACTTAAAATAAAAACATGTTTAAAACATTAGCATTCTTGCAATATTTTGTTTATTTAACAGTGTCTGATAACTCCCACCTCTTGCTCTGAATAATTGCATCAAAATATCTGTGCTGTTGCAATCGTGAGTATGCTATTCAGGTGTGTATCTGTAAGCTGCAAACCTATGATGACGCAGCAGCAGCAGAACTGGGAGAAGAAGCAGAAGACAACCAGTTCCACTGCAGGCCTGATAGAAGCCCTCCGGGGCCTGTTCTGACCCCTGGGCCGCATGTTTGACACCCCTGATCTAAAGCTTCTGAAGAATACTAAATGCGGAAGAGAAGAAGAGAAGAGATTGGATTTATACCCCGCCCTTCACTACCTGAAGGAGTCTCAGAGCGGTTTACAATCTCTTTCCCCTTTCCCTCTCCACAACAGACACCCTGTGAGCAGTGTTCCCTCTAAGCTGAGTTAGTGTGAGCTAGTTCACAGGTTTTTAGCCTCCAGCTCACACATTTTTGTCTTAGCTCGGGAAGGATGGCTCCAGTGCAAACCAGTTTATGCAGTAGCCAAATCGCTCACTCACAACTTTACTGCCAGTAGCTCACAAAGTAGAATTTTTGCTCACAAGACTCCACAGTTTAGAGGAAGCATTGCCTGTGAGGTAGGTGGGGCTGAGAGAGCTCTGAGATAACTGTTTTTGAGAGAACAGCTCTGAAATAACTTGCAACTTACCCAAGGTCACACCAGCAGCTGCATGTGGAGGAGTGGGGAATCAAACCCGGTTCTCCCAGATTAGAATCTGTGCTCCTAACCACTACACCAAACTGGCTCTCTGAGTAAAGTTCAAGTTTTCTCTGAGTAAAGTCCAATAGACACATAAATTACAACGAATGCACAAAGACCTGCATCTTGGAGCAAGCCCTAGAATCCTTTGATAAGCTGGTGTGAAAAGGTTTCTCCAAAAGTGAAAACTACTGTCCTAGATTAAGAACGTATGTTCAGCATATGAAAGGCAGAAGTGTTGCTGCCACAACAAAGGAAAGGAACTTCAGCAATTTCAGCCTAATATAAATCACATTTTTCAACATGCATTTTCTCTCAACCTATACTTTTACATTACTTAAGCCTGATTTGGCCATTGCCCAGAAAACAGTGTGTTTGTGAGATGTCTGTGTGGGGACAGGAAATGCAAACAACCTTTGCTTCCTCTGGCCAGATTTCTATGAATCTCCAGAGTCCACTTGTGTACACCTTCCCCGAAGTAAATTCCTGCTTAGCATGTTGCAACAGAAGCATGAATCATTTATAGTATCTCTCTCCTCACTTTTGTACATTTGCACCTTCCCTCAGATGCATGGACTTGGGCTTACTCATTTGACAGATTGGGTGGCGATGTCATGATTGGTCTGAAGTTGCTGAGCCTTGAAGACTTAATGTATTAGGTGGATCTGGTTGTATCATCCCGTGTCCTGAGTTTGCCTCGGTGAGCACTTTTGCCTTCTTTTGTCATTTTATTTGGCCCCTGGGTTGACTCCAGTTAACAGAGAAAGGGGATGATTGCCAGTAAAGCCTGTCTGAATTCCTTGCCCTGGAATTCTTAAAGATGCAGAAACCAGCTGGTGATTCAGGACTTGGGGGTGTGATTTATTGTAGGCTACCTCACCCGTAAGCTAAAACGATAAAGCTTAACTGACTGACTCAGGAGGCTGGGATTTATAAGCAGGCCAAGTCCTAGACCAGGCTATCTATTTATAAGCAGGCCAGCCTCCAGGTGAGACCTGGGGGTCCCCCAGAATTACAGATCATCTCCAGGCCATAGAGATCAGTTCCCCTGGAGAAAATGGATGCTTTGGAGGGTGGACTCTACGGCATTGTGCCCAGCTGAGGTGCCTGTCCTCCCCAGGCTCCATCTCCAAGTCTCCAGGAGCTTCCCCACCTCGATCTGGCAACCTTCCCCCCATCCCCGGCTAGTGGCCAGGGAGAACCTGGCAACCCTTATTACATGTTTATCCTGCCCTTCCTCCCAGAATTTCAGAGTAGTGTATATGGCTCTCTGTTCACCTCCCAACAATGGGAGGATAAAGAGAGTGTAGTGGGCCAAAGTCACTCAGGCCCCGGTCACACGGAGAATTTGCCACGCGAAAAACACGAATGTTGGGCGGATTTTCGGGGCACAATCACACTGCAACATCTGGGAAGCGTAGCGCACCCGTGGCCAACCCGTGGCATTCTGCCAAAGATGCAGAGTTAAAAAGTACCAAGGAAAGTGCACTAGTATCCAAAAAATGTGCGGCACAGGCAGGTGTCTGATCACGGGAGCGCTAGTATCCTGTGGCATCCGGTGCCTGTCCACAAACTGGATGTTTTCCATAAGCGCATGCGCACAAACATGAAACTGTAAGCAGTGCTACTCCGCGGAACTGCGCATGTGCACAAACGCGAAACGCTTGTGTGATCACGCCGCACCGCTTCTTTGCCACGCTGCAGCATCGCCGTGTGATCGCCAGCTAACAGCTGAAGAACGGAGACTCGGGGGACCATGTGATTGGGCTACCGCACTTTATTTTGCTCCGGGGCGAACAGCCACGCCTCCCCCCCGCGTTATCTGGCCCATGTGACCGGGGCCTCAGTGAGCTTCATGGTGGAATGAGGATTTGAACTCAGCTCTCCCTAGCACAACACTCTAACTACTGCATCACACTGGCTTACAAGCTTACGTTGTGCCCCATCACCTATTAGCCTGTCTAGGAAAGTAAATTTCCAGACATCATAACAGCTAGCTGACTTGCAGAGCTGCTCTCCTACTGTGGTCACCTGCTCCTGGCCTCAGCTGTCTATCCCTCCCTCCCAGCTTGGCCTCCCGGCTAGCAGTGCAGTTTGCATTCCTGAGCCTTCTGTCTCCCGGATTCTGATATGACTCTGGTTGATCAGCTTCACATGATCATTTGCCCCAGGCCCTGCCCTGATCACCTGGCTCTGACTGAGTCTTAATCCTACTAGCAACATCATGCATCCCAAGTCCAGAGATACGGCTTTGCAAGAGTGAGTCCCATCTAAGGTCGTTTCCCCCCCACACACACACACAATATAGTTCTGTGTGAATTCTAGATCACTAGAATAAAGCAGTCACCAAATAAAACGAAGGGCAAGGACTTTTGGACATAAAAAGGCAGCAAATAATTGCAACGTTTTCAGAACATAAAGTATGCCGCTGCTTTTGACATCTGTTCCCTTTCCCAAAAGAGCATCACATCTGAGATACGAGCTCAATGGCAATATTCATATGAGGGTATTTGAAAGTAGTGGGAAAACAAATACGCACACTCCGTTCTGGGTATTTCTGTTTCTCTCTAAAACCTTCCTGTATGGATGACACTGATTTTAAAGAAACCCAAACATTTCCGTTTTCTGTTTCCTGCTTTCAGTCGCTCACTTAAGATGAAGATAAAGTATGTGAAAGGCATTTGTATGCCCTTACCTCACTCACGATGGATGATACCGAAGAGTCATAAACCCAGCCATCTTGACAAGTGGTAAGAGAGAGATTGCTCGTGTCCCAGTGACTCACAAGGCCTTCCAGTGGATCTGTACAGCTCAGGTTGGTTGCATTCCAGTTCACATTGTACCTCAGGCACTGACTAGTTAAAACTTCTCCACTGGTCTTTCCCTTTGGAACTGTGTAATTCAACTCCTCTTCGAGACTCCAACCACACCTGCTGCTTAACTCAGCAACTCCAGGATTCAGGCAACGGTGCTCCGGTATGAAACCCAAAAAAACAACTCCCACATAGATGGGGGCAAAGGCAGCTGAGAGCAAGCAAATAAGAAAAAATGCCCTTTTCTGGAATAAGTCAAACTCCCCAATATGCTCTAAAATATCATCTAAGTCTGGCATTTTGGGGCAGGGATGTTGTTCACAAGGCTTCTCTTAATTGTGCTGAGAGTTGTTGTTCAGTCGCACAGTCGAGTCCGACTCTTCGCGACCCCATGGACCAGCTCACACCAGGCCTTCCTGTCTTCCGCCGTGAGAGTAAATAGGCTTAAATCGAAAAAATGACCAAACGTCAGTTGCCTTATAAATTATTAAGCCACTTCTCAACTTTTATATGTTACACTAGAAATCCAGCTGAAAGGTTTGTAGTTCTTTTCCAAGATTTTTTTTGGGGGGGGCAAAAAGCACAGTTTGTTGGTAAGCCTACATAGAATATTTCAGGGGTCATAATTGCCTGTCTTAACCACTGTGTTATTTCAGGGCCAATACCTTCATGTCCTATTTTTCATTAGGAAACTAGTTAACAGGGATGCAAATAAAAAGAGGTTACCGCAGTAGAGGAGAACCACCGGTTCATGATCAAACAGTTGGACAGAGGGGAACAAACACTGGCACCAAGGTACATTTGTCTAGCCTTGGACATTGGAACTGCTCATATCTAAACAGATTATGGGCTTCCCACAGAACACTTGTATTATGTCTTCACATGCTGACCCCCTTTCACTCTGTGATTTACTAGCTAAACACTTTTAGGTGGTGGTGGCCGGTCCATGTAGAATGCCCAAGTGTGCTCTGCAGCTCCATATTGTTACACAGCATGGGGAAACCCACTATCAAGTAAGCTTGCCAACTCAGCCCTGACCTGGATAGCCCAGGCAAGCCGGGTCTTGTCAGATCTCGGAAGCTAAGCAGGGTCAACTCTGGCAAGTTCCAATACCTTCATGTCCTATTTTTCATTAGGAAACTAGTTAACAGGGATGCAAATAAAAAGAGGTTACCGCAGTAGAGGAGAACCACCGGTTCATGATCAAACAGTTGGACAGAGGGGAACAAACACTGGCACCAAGGTACATTTGTCTAGCCTTGGACATTGGAACTGCTCATATCTAAACAGATTATGGGCTTCCCACAGAACACTTGTATTATGTCTTCACATGCTGACCCCCTTTCACTCTGTGATTTACTAGCTAAACACTTTTAGGTGGTGGTGGCCGGTCCATGTAGAATGCCCAAGTGTGCTCTGCAGCTCCATATTGTTACACAGCATGGGGAAACCCACTATCAAGTAAGCTTGCCAACTCAGCCCTGACCTGGATAGCCCAGGCAAGCCGGGTCTTGTCAGATCTCGGAAGCTAAGCAGGGTCAACTCTGGCAAGTTGAATGGGAGACCTTCTTGGAATACCAGCAGTCGGGAGGTGGGAACAGGCTTTATTCGGCCACCTCTCTGAATATCCTCCAGGCCCCCAGTAGGGGTCAGTCACCAGAGGTCGCCGTGACTTCCAGGTGCACATAGACTCATGCACACGCGCACACACATGCACATATGAAAACTACAAAAAAAATACCCCCCCAAAAAAGTTAAACTTGCCAACTCTGACTTGGGAAATTCCTGGAGATTGGTGGGCAACGTATGGTGAGAGCAGTCTGGGGGTGAGAGGGAGCTGAATGGGTATGTGGTGCTATAGAGTTTGCCTTCCAAAGCTGTGACTTCCTCCAGAGAATTGCTGAATTACAAGTTATTGCACTTAGAACAATGGAACCTTCAGGGCTTAACAGAGATATTGGCTTTTTATCTCACTACACATCCTAAGTCATTGTTTTTCCTTATACCCAGAAATTAAACTTTGTTGGTCTTATAGAGGCCACTGGACTCAAACTTGGTTCTCACATCTGTTGTTAACTCCTTCTTTATCTGTAAGCCAACTTGCTGCTATTTACATATCCTACTATATGTGATTCCAATCTTAGCTATATCTATTGTTCAGTTACTTATGCATCTTGACTCTCATCAGCTCTTCCGGGCAACTAACCCCCCCACCTGCATGTAATATTTGAGGAAATCTGTTTCAATGTATGTGAAGTAGTCTGCACACGCTGAGTCTCTGTTTTCACATGTACACCGATTTGAGCTTGCTTTGTCTTGGGGGTGCCGCTGGACTCACATCTTTGTTTACTCTTGTGTTTATGTGCTAATTTGCTGCTATCCATTGATCTTACTGACCACCTGATCCAACTTCAGCTGTGCATATGCACCTTGACTCTGAATGGCCCCGCCTAATGGCTGCCCCCGGCCTCTTTTTCCCTGTAAATAGCCCTTGAGGAGATTTCATTCCAATTTCTCTGAAGAAGTGTGCTTTGGACACTAAAGCTTACACTTGGAATAAAACTTTGTTGAGCCTTTGGGGAGGGCGGGATATAAATCCAAAAATAAATAAATAAAATAAAATAGAAGTGCCACTGGACTCAAACTTTGTTCTGCTTCAGACCAATACAGCTACCCACCTGAACTGATCTCTAGTCTGTGAGTTGTCAGTCTATGAGAACTCCACACACCCCACCTGGTGGTTGAGCAGAATTCTGCATTCATTCCAACATGGCCCCTCCAAATATAGCAATTTGTTTTATCCCAGAGGAGTGCGCGGCAGATTTTCTGTGTGGATAAAAGTGGTAAGCTTAAGGACAATAGTAGGGCAAGAGCTAAACCCTCCTAGTGACCCCAGTGTCAGGGACCCATCAGATGATCCCCCTCTTCCACATAACAGGAGTCCACTTATTTTACCTCAAAGAACTCAAGACCAGTCTATACAAGTGGCAGAATCAAGTGGGGAAGCTTTTCCTGAAGTGTACCATTTCAGGCTGCATGCTCGCATACAGATATCAAAGTAGCATGGCAGAGTGAAAGATTTTGCTGAGCCTTCTTCTGACATGCTATTTTTGTATGTTCTGTTTTTCTATATCTGAAGGACCATCTTCTTTTGTTGTCCCTGTGCGCCAGCTACAGTCATCAGCAGGGCTATTTTTGGGCAGGAACGCACAGGAACGGAGTTCTGGCTGGCTTCAGAGTTGGCCACGCCCACTACAGCCAAAACCTCTGCGTGCATGGCTACAGAGGGGAAGGCCTGGAGAGCGACCCCCCAGCAACTCTGAGGCGGGGGGGACAGGGGGACCCCTGGAAGGATCGGGGAGGCATTCCCTGGCCTGTTCAAGGGCCGGCTCGCCCAGGCTCCCGGCAGCTGTGGGGTGCCCAGGCAAACCAAGGGAAGGCAATTTAATCTGCCTTCCCTTCCCTTCAAGAGGGGGCTTGCCTGGGCTCCCCACAGCTGTGGGGTGCCCGAGCAAGCCAAGGGAAGGCATGGGGTGTGGCCTAATAGGCTAATGAGCTGTGCTGTCAGGGTGTGTGGCCTATTATGCTAATGAGTTCCTGCTGGGCTTTTTCTACAAAAAAAGCCCTGGTCTTGAGGCAGCAATCTGTTGGCGATCCCACCACTCAGGGTGGCCTGTCTGTTATAAACTAGAGTCTGGGCCTTTTCTATTATGGCTCCAGCTCTGTGGAATGGGTTCCCCACAGAGGTGAGGGCAGCCCCTTCCTTGCAGATCTTTAGGAGACACTTCAAGGCCTGCCTGTTTACCAGGGCTTTTTGAGGGAGTCTGAATTGGCCGACATCTTTTAAGTGGGGAGCAGGGGTGAGAGAGATGGTGTGTGCTTAAAATGTTTTAGTTAGTATTGTAAGCCGCCTTGAACTACGAGGAAAGGAAGGATATGTTTCAATAAATTAATATGCGCAGGGAAGCTTTCTTCTTGGGGGCCAAACACAAACTGTTTCCCACACACTTGCAGCCACAGGACTACCACTATGCACCATCGTTTTGCCGATTGTATAAACTGGGCCTCAGTTGGAGCCATTGAGAAGGGAGCCAGATTCTTTCTGGATGGGCCCACACTTTTAGCTATAACTTTCTGCCATGTTTGGGGGGTTTGGTGCTGGACTGTGTGAGGTATGCCAGGAACTAGTTTATATATATTGCTCCTTTACTATGTTCATACAACAAGCCGGCAGCCCCCGGAGATGGGAAATACACATTTAATAGCAAGTGATTTCTGTTCCAGGATCTGCTTGTTTTTTAATAGGTAACCACCAAAACTTCAAGCTGCAGCAGAGAAAGCTATTCTCTCTAAGCTGCAAGGGCAATGAATAACTGGAGCCTTGGTTCATAGAACAGTCCACAGCTGGTTAATGTATCTTTCAGTTGACTTGATTTGTGGTGCTGGAATCCCGTATTCACCACTTCAGAGCATGACTGCCTTGCACGCGATATTCTGTTTTGAACTTGTTCGGATTGCATAAAGTCCGTTATTTGGTAATCTACACTCATCAGTGCTTTATGTTTAAGGCATATTGTGCAACCACATGCAGTACAGCTGTGTTGAAATAACTGGTAGGTCACAGAAGAGGTGATATCAGTTCACTTCAGTCGTTGCCTTTACTCTTAAAAACTCTCTGAGAATAAATGGGCCCTAATACTACTGCAATTGCAGAGGAGTTGGTACTTACTGGGAAGGGAAAGATCTCTCCTCTTCACCAGGGTAACACTAGTTCCCCTCACTGCACTGAGCACAAAGATAAGCCAAAACACGTAAGACAGAAGCGTCGAACTCATTTGTTACGAGGGCCGGGTATGACATAAATGTCACTTCGTCGGGCCAGGCCATGTGTGCCAAGGACACAGGGAAACCCAATTAATGTTATTATTTTTACTCAAAATACAAACAAAAGCAATCGATTCCTAGCAGTGAAAGCAATTGATTTACTGGGGAGTCCACAAACCCCCCAGTAAATGTATTTAATCATATGCAAGCCTAGGTTTTTTCCCAAGGGATACCATAAAAGGGGGGGTCCCTTATATTTCCATATATACCAGTTGCTTGCGGGCCGGGTAAGAGCCCTGGACAGGCCTGTTTTGGCCCCCGGGCCTTATGTTTGACACCCCTGACCTAAGAGACTGAATATGTTGCAAGATGTTGGCTGCACATTGTGGAAGCAGAAAAGGCAACCAGAAATGGTGTCTGGAATGCTCTGTGACCTCAGCAACTGACTGGTGTGGCTTGTTGTACAGCTTATAAA